TTAGCAAGAGAGCTGTCCGCTAAAAACTCAATTGCTGTACCAACAAAACGAACACTCCCAACCAGCATGGCTGTTTCCAACCGATGAGGGGGTGCTTCTGCTCAACATGGATAAGCGCCGCAACTAATGCTCACTTATTTTCAATTTGTCATTCCCAGACCGCTTATTTCATCGATGTTTTGAACAGCAGTAGCCGTCACCGTGTTTGATATTATTACTGGTTCCCTCAGTTTTCTTCTTGATGATGTCATGTTTGCCAGCGATGTTTGTTCGGATGTATACTTGCTCCGGTAAGGTTTTCAAAATGTAATTTTGTGGCGAGGCGTACGTGATAGGGGACGCTAGCGAAGGCTTTGTGTGTGATCATTCAACGGCGTATATTTGGGCCGGAATGGGGGGGGCGGATGGGGAAAGGCGGGTTGTGACACCATATGACTCTCTATAGGGGTCGATGTTGAAAGGCACATTTATGGCTTCAAAAATTGTTCCTCTTTTTAAGTGATATTGGATACATTTTAGTCGTTGGAAATCTGAAAAAATCTTCACATTCCGCTTTAATGTATTGATCACCACAAAAAAATGTGGGGGTGATTCAATAGCCTACCCCCTCAAAAAGTTGGGGGATACATACCCACATCCACCGTTGATTTACGCCCATGGATCAGGCCAGTGCGAAGGTACGGTGCGGGGAAGTGGATTATCAAGTGAGTAATATAATAACGACAGTGATGGTTAGTAGAAAATCCGGTGGAGGGGGGGGTTGCTTACCATCTCAAGGAGACATGTCATCTCCATGAGTCATTGTTTTAGCAATTGAAACCACCAAGGAACAATATCTACATCGTCTTTTTATGGATGAAAAAATTGAATAACTATTTCAGGGAAAAATCCAACTATAGCTCCTTCTTGTACTCGAAACCTGGATAGCGATAAACGTTCTTGCCTGTGACTGTGACGAGTAATCGTGACGGTAAGGATGAAAGTGGTAATCATGATGATGTTGGTGGCGCCGGTGATGAATAAAATAGCAGGAGCGGTGGCGTCACAGTGCTACTGGAACATGTACAGCATGGTTTCCATATGATCGTAACGAACGCTGAAGGCATGCAAAACGTCAAGACAGACAGTCACTGAACAGAAGCTGCATGACGTCATTCAACCACCCCCCCAATCAGACAAAATGGCGTCCGAAGCAAGGGATTTTTTTCGCATAGGGGTGCACTTTCTTGGTGGCAATACCGCCAACTGGCACTCCAGTTTGATGTATTTTGTTTCTGGTCAGCTATTTTGTTGACGACTGGGGCTGCATGTGTTAGTAATAAGGATAAAATGGACTAAAAGAGTGGCACTATTAGGGAGAGCGACATCGTTGTACGACAGTCGTGCCATTGTGCGTGTTTATAGGCCCTATATAGGCCCACTCAGCCAACTCTCCCGACTGTCTGCGTCGATGTTTGCGTTGGTCAGTATAACAAGTGTTTCCATATCACTGCGTATCGTCGGGGACAGATCGGCGATGCTCTCTGCGTCTCCTTAAGCCTGGTTTCCATATGGTCGTTTGTAACGGAGACGGAAAGCAAGACGTCAAGACGCAGAGACGAACGGAAGAGACGGTACGTGACGTCATTCCACCAAAAATTGAAACAAAATGGCGTCCGAAACTCCGTGATAGTCGCGAAAAATGTGTGTTTAGATTGACTTTACCGCCTCATGATTCCAAACCTCTACTCCAGTTTCATGCATTTCATTGACAGTCAGCTTTAGTTGAACAGTATGGGGTGTAACATTTAAGTTAAGCACTGAGGAGAAAACAGGCAAAATTCGTGAAACTCGGCGAGAGGATTGATGCACGCCGGTACGTGGTCATGCCACCATGCCTGTTTATATGGGGATACCACAGCTAGGCCTACTCGACGCGCGCAGAAAGTTGGCAAAGTTGAACCTGGCTCAACTTTAATTGCCGATCGTTCGTGGGGTGGTTTGCGTTTGTCTGCGTTGTCGACGATACTTCCGTTTGACATGTTTCCATATGTCCACGTTACAGTTTGCGTCTTGATTGCGTTGCTGTCTGTGTTTTTACATCGAATATGGAAACCTATGCAGGCTTACATCGATATGGAAACCAGGCTGGGTGGCACCGGTGATCACAATGACAGTGTGATGTTGTTGCTTCGTCTGCATTGTGGAGCCGTCAATGGTGAATGACCACAGGGATTTTAATCGTTCCCGCACTGATTGCTACATAATTGAAACTGCCAGACAACAGCATCAACGAAGTGTAAACATCGGATCAATCATGCCAAACCTTCCGTTCCGTGTCGTATACTTTAAATAATGATTACCGCACTGATTTCCATCCAATTGAAACTGTCATACAACAGCATCAACGAAGTGTAAACATCAGATTAATCAAGTCAAACCTTCCGTTCCATACTGTTTGCTTCATCAACTTGCTATAGCCCCAACGCAGTGGCCTATCCGGGGGGAGGGGCCTGGGGGCACCCCCCACACACAAATTCCCGGTGCCCCCCACTAACAAAACGGATAAATAAATATTGAACAAGGCTTTCCCCCGAAAATGGATATTGAACAAGGGTTGCCTCCAAAAATCTACACCATTGAAACCTGGTGACCCGTTGTGTCCCCCCCACTAGTAAAATCCTAGCTACATCACAACCCCAACGTACCCTCTGTGGGAGCCTGACCCAAGTAATAAACGGCTGCATGCTCTTTCATGCGCTCTGTTTAGTGAATTGATAGTAATGGTATCGCTTACTATGGACAAAAAACTGATAGTGCCTCGGAAAAAAATAGATGTAGAATAAATCATGATTTGGATTTAGGAGAGATTTCGAGAGTGAATTAAAAGACTTTAATCGGTAAGCATAATTTGAATATACATGTACGTACAGGTCCATTTTTATATTTTCGTGTGGGGTTATTAATGCCTCAAGCGGCTGGAATAGTACTTGCTAAGGGCGGGGCATGGCCGTTAAGGGGTGAAAAAATAACTGAGGGTTTACTTGTCAGCATAGGTTTAATATTTCTTCAAATAATGTCAGTTTTTTCTCGGCTCTCGAAACTTCTGCAATAAAGCACAGCATGTGAGCAACTTTAGTCGAGTACACGAGGCAATTTATTGGTTTGAATAACGATTTGAGCAAATGTATTTGCAAGGCAGTACTTGGTACTATAGAATTATTTTGTAAGGGACAGCCTCGAAATAGGTGTATGGAAACTGCAATCATAAAATTCCGAGTAAACGTTTTCATCTTATCAGCTTCTTTTATACCTTACTGAGTAGAAATAGAACATCCACATCAAAAGGCCAAAAAAAAAAAAGATTATGCATTTTTTGTTTAAACTCAATCTGCCCTCTCTGTAAAAATAACAAGCGCGCCATCCCGGTGGGGACAAAGAGTACCATAATTATGATTAAGCGCCAGCAAATCTACGGGTGAATTTAATATTACCGTTATAGGCTTTTCGTGAATGTTTAACTCTGCCTAGTCGTAGCATTTATTACTTTGCAGAAGTTTTGCTAGACGCAGCATTTTAAAGCTGTTTTCTTGAGCAGGTATAATGTATCACACAATAAGGTGACATTCAAATGCGAAGCCTGTTGTAGCACCAAACCATCACATCAGCAGCAAACAAAGATGTGGCCTGGTGCAGTCGAGAAGAGCGCTTCCACATTCGGAGTTTTTAAGGCATTTTAGGCCATCACCACACGGCTATAATTTGTGTCGAAACTGGATAAATATTATACATGTTGGCCTAACAAGTTAAAATGACTCGGTATTCCAAGGGGGAAAAACTCCAGCTGAAATTGTGCCATCTTTTCTTCTGATCGTAAAGACAGCCGAGTCCTTATGGTCAGCTTTACAATAGCGAATACCCTTTGGCAGCAACGTACATATACAAACGAAATTCAAACCGAATTTTCCCGTTGATTAGACAGGGCGTGCTCGTCTAGCGATGCTCTCATAAGCGTTGTGAAATGCTCCAATTATAGTATCAACTAGTATGATTGTTATTGACCGGGACAACTTAAGTGCTCTCATGAGCGTTTTAGCACACTGCCGACTATGTTTCTATTCTCAAAGGCCTGAGTCTCTGCTAAATATATATTTCCCATTTAACATAATGGGATCAAGTTCTCCTATACACAACATGCCGCAGCAAAATGTAACCTAGTGATGAGGATTCTTACGTTAAATGAGTCGCTGTTGCATTCTCCGACCATTGAGTTTCACGTGATCAAAATGTTTATCAAGTATAAAGCTGTTATTTAAGAAATTGTCTTTTGGCTTCATTATTTTGTATTCACACCCTTATTGATGTGGCGTAACATTCACTGAAGAGACCAATGCATTAATTCAAACACCTTGAAGTAAGAAATAAACGATTAATAGCGAATTTCATAAGTTACCATATTAAACGACGACAGGTATTTTAAATGATTAAGCAAAACTGAAAAAAAAAATTACTTCTAAATTGTTCCTCGATTATAAGGATGAAGCCAATGCGGATTCATACTTACATGTAGCTGTGTATGTAATACAGGATTTGGAACCTAATGTGGCGGCCTATTGGTTCTCGTAAGTTGAACAATTTTACAAGTGGGTTCAAACCCATCTCGTGGAATTCCGGTTAGTATCTGCCCTTAAGCGAGACGCTTGAATTGTCAACTCACTGAGCTGCCTTAGGGTGACGTTGGTTGCCTTTGAATCAGCCTTTCGTGCCGCTCAGCGAAAACATAAGTTGTGCTCTTCACTAGGAATTGAGATGGTTCTGTAAAGGTCCCGAGTAATACTTTAAACATATACCAAAGACATAATGCGCTTTCCAAACTAAGTTGTAATGTTTTACAATCAACAAACAACTTGCACACAATCGACTCTACAAATGCTGCACAGGTTAATTAGGTGAATTAAGGTGAAAGGTGAATTTAGTTCGGTCTTCATCGTCACTCTCACTTTTAATTCGAATCCTTGGAGTTATGGCGGAGTGGGTTTTCGACCACACATCTTCCGCAGCACATCCCGGACGTCTGTGCGAAATCGCCGGTTGGCCATCCCGTAGATCAGCGGATTGACGGCATTGTTCAGGAACAACAGGTGGAGCACATTGGCCATGATCTGATACGCGGCATCTCGGGGTCTACCAGTGAGAGTCATGCCGACGAAGACCCAGTACGGGATATAGGTCAGCAGGAAAATCAGAGATGTCAAGAAGAGCATCCGCGTAGTCTTGCGTTGCAGTGCGACCGGCGGGCCGCCGCGGACGGAGGACCGTATCGCTCGCGCATTGGAGAGCGACCGTCGCCGTGAGCCCCCTATACTTTCCGATTGTTCCAGTCCCAAAGTGGTGTCCTGCCTCTCAGTAGTGGAGACCTCTAGGTATCTTGCCAGAGGGGTGATTCGAGGACCAAAAGTTTGGCGATCGAGTGAAACATGTCCTGAACCCAGGGCAAGAGCGCTGGTGTTTAAACTGCAACATGGCGTCTCTACATAAGGGATCGCAGGAGGCTGCTTGGCCTTGATGGATGCAATATCAGGTTGAACCACGATCCGACGGTCAGACGCTGGAGTTTCACTCAAACTTGACGCGCTGTGTTCGGCCCTGCTGAGCCGATTAGCTATACCAACCCGGACGTGATTGTGAATCGCCGTGTACACCATCCCATAACAGACAAAAACTACCAAGACGTCCATGGAGTAAAATAAGACCTGTTTTACAAACACTACCACAGACCAGCCGGCATTTCCGGAGATATAGACGAACAGTGGAATGTTTGAAAATACTGAAAGGAAACAGACGAAGGCGACAGCTCCACGGGCCCGGCGGTGGCTAAGGAGCCGATTGCGGTAGCGGCAAACACAGTCGTGGCGATCAAGCGCGATTAAAGCCGTCATCAAGGCTGCATCGGTCAGGGAAAGATTGTTGACCACAGTGATGGCTCTGTACAGGTCGAGGGGCGGTGTGCTGCCTGATAGCTCAACCCCCTGATACACCACCTCGCAGAAGCGCGCGAGGCAGGCGAACAGGTCCGCCGCAGCAAGCGCCATGATGAACACAGCGGTGCTGGTCCGCCGGGGCTTGGCCCAAAAGACGACAATGATCAGGACATTGCCGGGGACGCCGACCAAGACAATCAGAAGATGCCAGACGAAGACAGTCACCGAGAGCGGAATGGCAAATAGCTCCGTCTCGCTCCCCTGGAAGTCGCTCTCCGATGCGTTGAAGCTCATGGTGGTGGCATAGGACAGCGTGCCTAGAATACATACATTCAGCAGCTAAGCGTCTAAGGAAATCAGCCTCGCCCGGCTTGTCAAACTTCTCGCCAAATGAACAGGTAAACTCCAACAACTGCGTTAACAGTATCGCATCAAATCCAAAGGCCGCAAGTTACAAGTTTTGCCGTATAAGCCTTTTCAATGAAGACGCAACGACTGATGCCCAGTTTGTATTACCAGAGATTGTCGACGACGATGCAAGGCTCGAGAGCGATACCGTCAATTTATCTACAGTACTGACGCACATTGCCGTCACGCCATCAATATTCGACGAAAGACAGGATTAAGTCCGTAGCTTAATATGCATGCATGGATATCAAGTCGCGCTTCACGTAGTCTTTTTTATCGCCTTTTGTTGCTCTCCTTGTGAGGTTTCAGCCTCGTCCCCAGCATATTAGAGTTGTACCGTTTTACTACCCCTCCACATAATGGTATGGAGTAATTTGTGCATGAAAGCATAAAGGGCAACCAGATAAATAATTAGGCGCATTGCACGCGATTTCAACAGCGTATTAAATGACGTGCATGTGAATTCACGCATAAAATCAAACAGCAGCAGGGGGCGGGGTGAATGGAAAAACTCCTTTAAATTTCACACTGACGACAAAAGGGGGAGTGGATATATTGGGTCGGATAAACTGTCCTCTGTCATCTCTCACGCACAAAATAATTGAATAATCAAAGAAACTGCCATTCGCCAAAGAAATTTAGTGGTTCAGTTTACGATTACTTCAAAGACGTCGTAAAAGAAACAGTAATAAGGCAATTTTGAGTGTGTGTCAATTTGATATCCGGCGCCATTTCGTTTTAATGAAAAGTATAGCAAATCAATAGGGGGCAAAGGTTGAACCAAATTATTGGTCTTCTCTGTCCGAGCACGTTTGCCATCGTTGTAAACATTCCCACCGACGATTTCATCACCAGATGAAAAGACAATTACGTTACGTTGATTGTAAAAGGAGATATCTGCTTCACTTTTGAAAAACTGCGTCGTGACCATTTGTTCTGCAGCCGTAAATATTACTGCGTGCGGTGAGCTGAAAGTCAACACGAGAAGTTAATATGCTCCCGACAGCACTACATCATCATCGATCGATCTTGGCGATTCAGTCTAAAGTCGGAGCTAGGCAATACATACCGCTGGCAACATTGGTGTTGTCGGATGCACGCCGGATTACGCCTTTGGTGCCGTTCGCTAATTTAAATAGAGAGGCAGGACAAAACGGTTCGACAAGCCCTAAAGAAAATAGCAACGAAAGTCTGGGGTGGGGGTACGCTATAACAACCAAAGACGGGGAAACGAAAACAAGCGATGTTTTCACATAGGACGACAAATGGCAAAACAGGTGGAAACGGACAAAGAGAAATGAAAAGCTTTTTTTGTACAGGCAACATTTCAACACAAAATGCATATAGTCTCACTGCATGAAAATCTTTTCAGAGGGGCTGAAACCTGAGAGAGAGGTTAATGGCAAAGTGCTAAGGATCTGTAAACGTGGGAAACGTCTTTTCCGAAACAATCCCGAAGGGTTAACCTCGTCCCCCTCAACCTTTCCCCCTTTGCCTGCAAAGCACAGATGTTTATGAGGCTGCCCCACTTACCCATCAGAAAAACTGTTCAAAAGGGTGTAACCGATCTTCCCATCTCGGGAAAGGTTTCCTAAAATATGTAGAGAGGGAAACTCCACACAGTATAAAATTGTAGACTTGCGTGTAGCTTTGAAAACAAACGCTCAAAATTCAAAATCATAAATAACGTGGCATTCATACTTCTCCAAAGTTTAGTTTTGGTTTGGCTACCTAAAAAAGTTAAAGCTTTGCAACGTAAACGTTCTCACACAAGCACATGAAGTGACAGCAAACCTGCATGAACGAGGAGACATGGGAATGATAGGGCAGGAAGTGAAAGGTCTTTAAAGGAACCAGGAAATATAAATATTTTTTATAAATTTTGCTAAAAGCCCTTGAAATTGCATCTTTGAGTTTCAATTAACCTTATTTTGTTTTTGTTAATTTTGTTTTGCAATATTAATCCATATTTTGATGCTTTTTTGTTTTATGCTCATGCATATTTGCATATCATGAGCAGAACTATGATGTCATCCAAGGCACTGAATCTCAATGTTGCACTGATTTGTGCACAGAAAAGTTCTCATAAAAGATGTCAAACAGTCTTCATACATGGAAGAAGAGTAGAAAGATACTCAAAAAGTGGTTCTAAGAAAAATTCATTTCCTGGTTCCTGTAATGAAATTCGGGGGGGGGGGTTTACCCATCTCCAGGCCTTTCCGAAAACATTACCTGGAGAACACAAAGGTTTCTTGGGGTAGTTTCAGTCACTCCTCCAAAAGCTATTGAACGCGACAGGACGGCCCCGCGCGAGGATTTTGGAAGCTCTCTGGGTGGCCTTTCACTTTTAGGCTCATGTAGGCCTAAGGTCACGTCCGAATCACAGTCTTGGCTGCGGCTTGAAATAACACACGACGCTATAAAATATACGCATGATATGGGAAATGGCCGTAGCCACTTTCAAAAAATCGTGTTATTTCTAGCCGCTCCAAAGTAATTCGGACACAGTCTCTCCCGTCTGTTAGACGACATCATGCGCGATCACGCACAGTATCACTCTTCATCATCCGGAAAACGTTCAAAGCAGGCGATCTTTCGCAGAATAAACTGCGTCCTAATCCAATTTTGTCTTTTTTTCCGATCATTCATAGCACGGGAATATTATAATTAATGGCAATTTGTCATTATCCTATTCCACGCCACGCATGAACGTGCCCCAAAGAAATTGGTCATTTGTATTCCAACTCAGCCATTCCTGGTCTCCAAATGTCTGCAAATGTAATGCAACATCGTATTAAAATTGAAGGATTCTGGACTGCATGAGGCATTCGGTCCAAGAAATCCGACCCAGAATTATGACGCGTAACCATTGTGCTAATGACAATTAGCGTGGGCAGTTTGCTCTTTGCTCGGGTTGAGAAAAACTGAGAAAGAAAACATAAGCGGGACTCGTCTGCTTTCTACGGCTGCAAATATAATCGCCACTCCGGCCCTTTTTCAGGCGATGTTCAAATTTGTGTACTTGACCATTCAATCATATAAAATTATTTTACAGTTCTAAAATGTGTAAATAATGCCACACTCAATTTATCGCGATGTAGTTTTCTTCTCACACAATTTTCGCACAACACAACCAAAGAAATACTCGTGGAATTGGGAGCGATCCATTTTTCAGCATTTTCCCAGGCGAACAAACCGTAAACGCCGGAGCTCGAGTGCCCTGTGCGAAACTGTCAGATTTCCTTTTGGGTTTTTATGCTTTGCAATTGGGGAAACGGGCCCTGGAAGAAAAGAAAATCCTTTACATGCTCGCAAACATGTTGGGACCACTAATGGCCCGACATCTCACTTTCGACTGCAGCAGCAGTTTGGAAACCGACATTAAGATAGCCCGCACGAAACGGCACTTGTCAGATACGCCCGTGGATGTAGCAATATAATTTATGTCAGACTGTCAACCTCTTTTGTTAATGACGTCCCTCGACCGAGCCTTCCATCAAGCGGCTTGTAACAGTAATGGACACTGACACCTCCTTGTAGTGCATCGACAACATCGGATGTACTTTGGGTTCCGCAGGCCTGCATCAAACGGTGTCTTTCACTTTACACAAATCTCCAAGCAGACGCCCCATTTTGCAGTGACAAGCAAAATGCATTTTGGCGTCTGCAACATAGCCTCTGTATACAACTCGTGACAAATAATACTTAGTTGTCATTTCTGAATTTCACGCACGATCAATAAGTGTCAACATTTTGTTGGCGTCTCCGAAATGAAGCCTCTCTTACCTTCTTGAAAAAGAAACGAAGCAAACTAGAGGGGAAGCAAACTGTCACATGGTACAACTAGCACTGCCTATGCTCATTACTGTTCTCAGAATATTTTGCAGTCCTCTCGCTTTTAAAATGGCAAAAGGCGGGGTCTTTTGAAGCGTCAGTTTGTTCACTTTTAGAATCTCACCCTCTACTGTTCTACTGTATCGCGTTTTTGGAAATAAACCCTTTTATATCCCCTCACATTTGACACAAAATCTACCAGAGAGGGAGAGAAAGGGAGGGGGAACAGAGCGTAATTTCCGCAGAGTCTAATAATTTGGCTCTTTGAATATTCAGTGAACTTGGTCGTTCCAGTGAGTGGATGCCGTCTAAACTGCGTATTCGTCTTTTCTGGGACGGGTCGTTCATTAGCTCGCGCGCGGACAGTCCGTTCAAGAGCCTGCACTGGCCAACTTAATGAGACTGTCATTCACAAAATGAGGAACCTGTACGCTCATAAAAAAATGAGCACAAATATCATTGATGGCCGTCTGTCAATGATTATGCCATGCACAAACACTTTGCTGTTCAAATCGCTCAATCTTAAGTACATCTTCCTCTGAACCGGGGCTAGACATCATTTACAGTGTATCGAGAACTCAAA